AGCATTTCTATATTACACAACTGATATAAGTGCTTTTAGGTTTATCCTACTTTAGCCCCACACCATAGAAATTATCATTTTGTAGATAAGTAAGCAACTGAGATACAGAAAGGTTGGATAACCAGGATCATAATTCAGCACATCTTCTATGAATAAATGCCTGACTGACTAATGAGTTCTGAGGAAAATGACCATAATACAATGGTAATTAAACCATACAGTTAAACTTTTTTTTTTTTTTTCTGAGCCAGAAAGAGTCAGAGAGATTTAAATCACAAATGATTTAGGTGACATAGAAAAGAACCAACAAACACAAATCTGGCCTTTAATACAACTGTTGGGAACTCAATGTCGAGCAAGCCTTTATTTTATTGCCAAATGCCCAAGCTCATTAAATAAATAAATAAATAAACAAGGTACTTTGGCAGCTATCTCAAGTGCTTCAGCAAAATACTTCTCTATAGATAGGAAGGAACTCAGTTTTTAGAAGTAATCCACTCATTTGATAACAGTAAATGAACAGATATAAATTAGTGCCTATGATAGGAATAATGATAATTATAATTATTATAATCATATTAATAATACTATATGCCAGAGGTACCTAACTCCTAACCCCTAGGTCATGGACTGGTACTGGTTAGGTCCGTGGCCTGTTAGGAACTCAGCCACACAGTTCCTAACAGGCCATAGAGGTGAGTGGTGGGTGAGTGGGTGAAGCTTCATCTGTATTTACAGCCACTTCCCATCAGTATTACTACCTGAGTTCTGTCTCCTGTTAGATCATTAGTGGCATTAGATTCTTAGGAGCACAAACCTTACTGTGAACTGTACCTGTGAAGCATCTAGTCTGCATGCTCCTTATGAGAATCTAATGCCTGATGATCCATCACCATCTCCTTTCACTCTCAGATGGGACCCCCTACCTGCAGAAAAACAAGCTCAGAGCTCCCACTCATTCTACATTATAGTGAATTGTATATTTATTTCATTGTATATTACAATATAATTATAATAGAAATAAAGTACACAATAAAAGTAATGTGCTTGAATTATTCCAGCGTCAACCCTCTGCCTCCACCTGGCTGTGGAAAAATTGTCTTCTGTGAAACTGGTCCCTGGTACCAAAAAGATTGGGGACCACTGCTGTATGCTATATAATCTTTAAAAATCATATATCAAGTATATTTTATGACATATTCTTTTTCTTAGCAACATTTAATCAAGGCTCTTCCTGAGGCCTAGCAATGATAAAGATTTCATGGTAACCAGAGGCTTGCCTGGTTCTCCGTAAGCACTGGTTCTCAAACTTTTGTATTCTTCATGGTCTTCTGCAAGGCTTATTAGAACACATATTGCTGACCTTCACCTCCAGTTTCAGAGGTATAGTGGGTCTGGTATGGTACTTGAGAAATTCTGTTTCTAACACATTCCTAGATGATGTTAAAGCTGCTGGCCTAGGAACTGGATTTTGAGAATCACTGTACTAATCAATGAAGTATTGATTTGTCTCAGTATTAGTCCATTTATATACTGCTGTAAAGACTTATATGAGACTGGGTAATTTATAAGGGAAAGAGGTTTAATTGACTCACAGTTCTGCATGTCTGTGGAGGCCTCAGGAAACTTACAATCATGGTGGAAGGAGAAGAAGCAAGTACCTTCTTCTTCACAAGGCAGCAGGAAAGAGAGTGTGAAGGAGGAACTGTTAAATACTTATAAAACCATCAGATCTTGTGAGAGCTAACTCACTAACACAAGAACAGCATGGGGGAACTGCCCCATGATCCATTCAACCCCCACTCCCTTGATATGTGGGGATTATGGGTCCCTCCCTCAATATGTGGGGACTATAAGTCAAGGTGTGATGTGGGAGGCGACACAGAGTCAAACCGTATCAGTCTCCTGTTTCAGATGTTTCCTGCTTAAAAAAGACATAAAGGCTTTAACTTCAAACTCATTATGAAACCAATTCATTGAAAAAAATGACACTATAGGTAAAAATCACTTATGGTTTAACTTCAGAATTTTTTTTTTACATATAGTCAGTTAGTATTTATTGATTATATGTGGCTGTGCTTGATGACCAATTCCATATCACTATGAGCTTAGTAAAATCTTCTAGTTTGTTTTGGCTTTTAGTTCTAGTGCAGTGTACCAATGAACTTGGTTTCCCATCTTGGTGCTCATGTGGTCCTTGGGATCTGGCAGCAGATGCTCTCAGATAATTTCTCCTCTTAATGGCTGGTTGTTATAACACAAGGGCCTGCTTCCTTTATTCTTTCCACAGCACAGGGTCTTTGTCCTACTTTGTCCTGCTTTTCTCCCAGATAGTCCCATAGCTCATATATTCATCTCCTTCAAATCTTTATTCACAGATCAACTTCCTAGAGAAAGCTTTTTTAACCACCTCATTAACACTTGAAACGGATCCCCCAAACTCCCTGTTCCCCTTCCCTGCTTTAATTTTTCTTCATAACTTTTGTCACCTGGCAACTTTTCATATATTTTTTCTCTATTATATTTTACTTATGATATGTCTCCCTCTATAAACTGATCGAAAAGCAGGCATTTTGTCTGTTCTATTGATTGGCATACAGTAATATTTGGTAAATGGAAGAATGAATTCTTTTTGACCTGTGAACATTAATGCATTATATTGCTCGATGATGAACTTAATTATTTTGCTCTACTTTGCAAAGTTAAATTTTCCTTTGGTCGTTTTCTACCTGAAGCCAGGTGCCAAGCTTCTAGGTCTTCTTAAGATTCACCTTGGGCCACCTATCAAAAAAGACTGTGAAAATTTGCACTTTATTTTTATCTGGCATGGTTCCAGTTGTGCATGTATTTATTTTTATTTACCAGTAAGTAACATAAACTTCTGCCAGCAGCTCTACTTCTGCTAATGGCCTTGATGTCATCCCCTTTGACCATCCCAGGAAACCTGTCACACTGATCACTTCTTGTTCTCTGGTTGCCTCAACCTATCCCTGCTGCTGTACTTCATTCAGCAGCAGGGATATATTTGCAACCAAGTTGTGTTTAAAAAAGCAAACACATCTTCCACTGTAAAATAATGTTTCCTTCATTCAGACAGGTTGAGTATCTCTTATCTAAAATGCTGGGACCAGAAGTGTTTTGGATTTGGATTTATTCAGATTTTAGAATATTTGCATTATAGTTACCATTTGAGCATACCTAATCCAAAACTAAAGAATCTGAAATGCTCCAGTGAATGTGTTTCCTTTAACATCATGTCAGCACTCAAAAGTTTCAGATTTTGGAAGATTTCTGATTGTAAATTTTTGGATTAGGGATACTCAACCTGTATTGCTATATTGCTTATATTCTCAATCAGCCTTCTTGAAAGTGTGGTCTATATTTATATTCTCCATTTATTTATATCTACACACTATTCTACCTACTGTATTTTGAATTGTACCCCCAAAATTCTATTAAATTTTTTAGTAAACTAATTCAGGATTTGTTGTGACTAAATGCAACAGATACTTTTCATTCTTTATCATGCTACTTGAAATGTTCACCTTTTGTCTTTCATACTATCTTTCATGGTATACTTTCCTGGTTTTTCTTCTCTTTGGTCATCCATCCTTAAACTAATTTATGGATTATCTCTTTTTGTATTCTTCCTTGTTGATCTCAGTCATGTTTATGGCTTTCATTATCATTGATATATTTGATGATTCCCTAAATTATATCTCTAGCTCAAGTCTTTCTCCTAAGCTTCAAATAATTCTCTGAACTGTCAACTTATAACTGGATATCCCTCAAAAACCTCCAGTTCAATAGATCCACCTTTAAAAAACCCCTCCTGTGTTTCTTTTCTTCCTCCTCCTCCTCTCCTTCTCCTTCTCTTTCTTCTTCTTCTTCAGATGGAGTCTTGCTATGTCACCAGGCTGGAATGCAGTGGTGTGATCTCGGCTCTCTGCAACCTCCACCTCCTGGGTTCAAGTGGTTCTCCTGCCTCAGCCTCCCATGTAGCTGGGATTACAGGCATATACCACGACACGGCACTAATTTTTATATTTTTAGTAGAGATGGGGTTTCACCATGTTGGTCAGACTGGTCTTGAACTCCTGATCGCAAGTGATGCACCCGACTTGGCCTCTCAAAGTGCTGGGATTAGAAGCCTGAGCCACCGTGCCCAGCCCTGTGTTCCTTTTCTCATCAAGTATCTTTCTCTTTCACTCAGTATAGCTAGAGGCTTGATACCATCCTCAGTCATACCTCTTTTTCTCTCACTTCTCACATCATCTTTACTTGATCTGCACAATAAAGGTTAAAGCAAAGTCTCTAGAAATATTCGAGTTCCTAATAAGAAAATAATTTTTAACTTTACATGCCTTATTACAAGTAGTGAGATTATATTATCTATTATTTTATTTTAAAATGACATTAAGGACTGGATAAGTTTTAGCATGGTAAAAATCTGTGGAAAGTAAGTGAAGTTGGCCAGGACTAGAACTGGAGACCTTTGAATCCCTGTTAGGTTTCTTTCATGGTATTATTATTATTTTTAAACAAGGTCTCACTCTGCCACCAGGCTGGAGGGCAATGGCTCAATCATAGCTCACTGCAGCCTCAACTTCCAGGGCTCAATCAATCCTCCCATCTTGGCCTTCCAAAGTGTTGGGATTACAGGTGTGAGCCATTGCACTCAGCACCCCTATCATGGAATATGCAAGAGACTTCATGGATTGGATTTTCCCCCAGACATGATAAAAGTTTTCTTTTAGTTTGGCATGATCATTGCTTATCCTGGGGCACTGTCTCAGGTTCTGGCACACCAAACACCACCATAGTCATGCAGAATGAATGTGTTGAAGATAAGAAATGTGTGCTGTCAGGGGAGGGCTGGGGGTTGGGGAGAGCATTAGGAAAAAGAACTAAGGCATGGTGGGCTTAGTATCTAGATGACGGATTGATAGATGCAGTAAACCACCATGGCACATGTTTACTCATGTAACAAACCTACATGTACTCTGGAACTTAACAAAATAAATTAAAAAAAAAAACCTATATGACATATGTAGTATATAGTAGTGTCAAGTTTTCCTTAGTATCAAGGTCATGATTCTGTTCACTGTCTCTCTCAACACTTCCTTTACCTTCTCATTCCTCAAGCTGTAGATAAAAGGGTTCAGGAGAGGGGTCACCACTGTGATGAGAACAGCAGCAACCTTGTCATAATCCAGTGAGGAGTTCTGATTGGGTCTCACATACACAAAGATGTTGCTCCCATAGGCAATGGAGACAACAGTGATGTGAGAAGCGCAGGTAGAAAAAGCTTTCTGACGGCCCTGGGTGGAGGGGATACTCAGAATGGTGGAAAGTATGTACACATAGGACCCAGAGGTGAATCCCAGGGAGCTCAGGATGACAAGGGCAGAGAGGAGAAGGTTTATCTTCTCAATGAGGTGAGTGTTTATACAGGCCACCTGTAGAAGAGGGGCAATGTCACAGAAAAAATGATTAATTTCTTTCCTACAGTAAGGTAGCCGTGTCACCACCATGGTTGGAACCAACACAGACAGGAAGGCTCCCACCCAGCATCCCAGAACCAGCAGGAAACAGGTCCTGCTGTTCATGATGACGGTGTAGCGCAGTGGGTCACAGATGGCCACGTAACGGTCAAAGGACATCACCGCCAAGAGGATAAACTCCGCTGTCCCCAGAAAGAAGTAGAAATATGCCTGGGTCATACAACCAGCAAAAGATATGGTTTTCTTTTCTCCTAGGAGGCAGGCTAACAACTTTGGGGTAGTGACAGTGGTATATAAGATATCCAGAAAGGACAAATTACTGAGGAAAAAGTACATTGGAGTTTGCAGACGATGATCAATTCGTATCAGGGAGATGATGATGATGTTTCCTGTTGTTGTTAACGTGTAAATTAACACAAGAACCAAGAAGAGAGATATTCGAATGTCCAGGAGAGCTGGGAAGGCAATTAGTGTGAATTCAGTCACAGTGCTCCAGTTTCCCATGTTGACCACTACATGGTAGGCAGGGTTTCCCTGAGGAAACGAAAAAAGAAAAATCAGTTTAGGTAATTTTGTAGATATCTGTGAAAGATGTATTGTGGAGAGTGTCTTATGTTGGGAGATGAGTCCTGGCATGTAGGACTATCTGAAAGTTATTACTGTGCCACATTGGGACAGTCAAGATACTATTTAGGTACATTTTTTTTTTGTTTCTTTGTTTTTCTGTAAAATAATGTGATAAGGCTGGACAAAAAACTAAGGTTCCTTCTAGTTATAAAATTTCTTTTTTTCTTGGAACTTAACAAAATAAATAATAAAAAAAACTATATGATCTATGTAGTATATAGCAGTGTCAAGTTTTCCTTAGTATCAAGGTCATGATTTTGTTCACTGTCTCTCTCAACACTTCCTTTACCTTCTCATTCCTCAAGCTGAATGAGATAAAATTTCTAGTCTTTTCATTAGATGAAATTTCTAGTCTTTTTTTCTCTTTTGGCTTGATTTTCTCAGCTAAAAAATGTGCTAACATACTGATGTATACTTAATCAGAATGCTCTTCGATTATTCTGGTTTACAGTTCCTGAGTGGCAAATCCTTTAAAAACGTTATAGTCTTTTCAATAACAAACTTTCTTTCACTTTGATGATTGTTACGAGTCAGAGATAAAAGTTGATTTAGTTTTTTCTACATATGTAGATATTCAGAATCTCCCAATTCTTAAAGTCTTTCCCTAGCATGTATAGACCTATGAAAACAGTCCAGAGATGTTTAAAAGGAACAACAGTTCATGGTTCGTATTATTCATTTTATATAACACCTCAAAAAGAAATAATGGGTGTCTTGCCCTTAGATTGTTCCTTGTGTCTAAAACCTACCTCCTACAAGTTCTGTGAAGTATCTAATATATAGCATACATCTGGCTGATTATTTGAGAGCACCATATGTAGTGTGATAACATCAGAGAACTACAAATTATACACAGGAAAGCAAAACAGAGGTAATTCAGCTCACTTAATTTACTTTGTCAGCTGACATCCTAAAACTGTACTTCAAGATCATCTAGTTTGTTCTTTGTCCCACTATCTGAGAATTGATTCTTTTGCAAAGACCTCCCCATTTAAGGTTAAAACCTACGTATGCTTTAACTCTAACCTTGATGCTTTATTTACCTAGATATCACTTAGCACCTCCTTAGTAAATCCTTAATAGATAAGTTAGCATATCCTCTACTCTTTGCTACTGATCATGGCCACCTCTTTTTCTTTTCCCAACCTCCCCCTGAAACTTCCTCTAAGATAAAGTTTGCCCTCTTATTTTCTTTTTTCTTATTATTTCAGGAAAGACATTTTTAGTGCAAAGAATTCAAAAATGCAAGTTCAAAAAATTATTTTTAATTAAACTTAGAGATACAGTGACATTTTGGTTTATATAATTTTAGGCTATCGTAAAGTTCAAGTTTACGTACCTGCGTATCTAAAATAAATCATACTAGCAGACTATTTTGTAATCAGCTTTTTTATTTTCCTTTCTTTCTCTTTACTTTTTTCATTTTTTAAAAACATTTCATTATTTTTCCATGTAAATTCCTAGAAATCTTCACAGTCATTTTTGAGAATTATATAGTGTTTGATTCTATCAGTGGGAATGTGATATATTTAGCAAGTTGCTTAGTGCTGAAAATTTAGATGGTTTACACTTCTTGTTTGTATAAATAATGATCAAATAAATATTCTTCCAAATAATTTTTTTGTGTACTTGTCTTATTAATTTCTGAGATTTCTGAGAATCTTCTTTTCCAATAAGATGTTTGCTCTCACTGTTTGTTACTCAGTGCAAAAACCCAAGAAAGATTTGTTCTTATAATATTAGATTTTACTTTATTAGAGCAGTTGATAATGTAAAATCACTTGCAGATATCTTTCATGGGTTCTTAGTCTGAGGGAATAGTTCTATATCATAGCTGGGCTCGGATAGCTGATGCCTCAATAGCATAGAAATACTGTGCTTTTTTAAAAAAAATCTTATTTTATGCTCTAAATTTCAGTTTTCTCGTCTTAGAATGTGGGGCTACACATTTAAAAGGTCTGTTAAAGTTTCAGAGTCCTGCTATCTGTACTGTTTGACTCCCTGACTCACCTCAAAGAGTATAACTTCTTTTATTCTCCAGTAAATAAATTCCTAAACGATTTGCTAAGTTACTGCATAGAAGTGGCTAATCACAAATACATATACTAATATAATAGCATGGGAAATTAACTTTCTGTGCAAGGCATATTGTTATCTGTTTTTTGTGTGACTTGTATTATTTCCATGAGGTTGTTCAATAGGCAAATTATAGTTTTACAGTTGTTTTTTTTTTTTTTTTTTTTTGGTAATAATAGGTAAATATTTACTGAGTTTTTGGTAGTTGCCAGACATGGTTGAAAGCAGTTTACTCTTTTAATTTTCATTATAATTATATGAGATAAGCACTATCTTTATTCCTATTTTTAAATTTTACTTTAAGTATATTTTACATTTTAAGACTCAGGTATTAATTAGATTAATGTGAGATAGTTTAAAGAACTGGATTCCAATCCTAGTTTTTATCACTTACAGCTCTTTTTTCATCAAATTAAATTCTTTACCTCTAAGTCATAGCTTCTTTATCAGGGAAATAAAGATAATTATAATGTTCAAAATGACCTGTGATGAGGTTGAAATGAAATAATATATGTGACAATACCTAATAGATTTTTGCTAAAACATTGGTTAAGAAAGGAGATGAACAATTAACGCTAATTGTTTCTTATCTGAATTAATAAGTTGCAAAAGAGGCCGGGTGCGGTGGCTCACTCCTGTAATCCCAGCACTTTCGGAGGGCGAGGCGGGTGGATCACGAGGTCAAGACATCGAGACCATCCTGGTCAACATGGTGAAACCCTGTCTCTACTAAAAATACAAAAAAAAATTAGCTGGGCATGGTGGCGCGTGCCTGTAATCCCAGCTACTCAGGAGGCTGAGGCAGGAGAATTGCCTGAGCCCAGGAGGCGGAGGTTGCGGTGAGCCGAGATCGTGCCATTGCACTCCAGCCTGGGCAACAAGAGTGAAACTCCGTCTCAAAAAAAAAAAAAAAAAAGTTGCAAAAAGATTAATTTTTAATGCATACTGAACTTGAATCATTCCAGGTTGGCTTATGACTCCATTCATTAAGAATATTGAAAGATCAGAGAGACTATATACAGGGAAGTAAATTTAGCACAAGTGATAGTGTATTAGTAGATAAAACATATGTGGAAAAAGTATATTTACATTGCATCGATTATATAATGTAAAATTTTCCTGTTTTATATGTGCAGACATAGGAAGAGGCTCAAACTTTATTATCTGTAAGTGTATGAATTCATAGCATTGTACTTTTGTACTTTTTATTTATTATTGTTTATTGCTAATTCTATTTCTAACTCAGAAATATCTATCAAAGATGAAATAACCCTTACTAGGTCATTGACCATCCAACCCCATAATGAATACTTCTGTTTAGCAGTCTCACTACATATGCATCCAGCCATTGCTTGGGTGACTTCGGTGATTAGTAAATTACTATCTTGCTTTAGCACTGACTGGATGAAAAACGCTTATCTTGAGTGGAAAACTCTGTTTTTTTTTTTTTTTAACTTCCAAATACATCTTCATGTACTGATTTTGTAGATCAAATGTTAACCTTTTCACCGCGACAGCCCTTCAAACACTTTTAAGTTCTGGGTATCCTCCTTGTCCCACATCTCAGTGAATTCAGCACAACACAAATTCTAGAGTCCGCTTTTATGGATAAAGAAGGTAATACCTGTGGTAAGTGGCTTTAAAAACTTATAGAGTAGATCTTCCCCAACTTCCATTTATAGGAGGCTGAAGTGGGAGGATTGCTTGAGACCAGGAATTTGATATCAGCCTAGACAGCATAGCAAGATCCCATCTCTACAAATATTTTCAAAAAGCTAGCCAGGTACGGTGATGAGTATCTGTAGTCCTAGTTACTCTGGAACTGGAGGTGGCAGGATTGCTTGAGCCCAGCAGTTCCAGGTTGCAGTGAGCTATGACCATGCCATTGCACTCCAGCTTGGGCAACAGAGTGAGACCTTGTCACTAAAATCAATTGATCCATCAATAAAAAACTATTAAGTCTCAATTCTCAGGTATTTTTCCCCATGCAGGAAGACTACATTTTGTCTCTTTGCTTAATTCTCTATTATTTTAGTTATTCAGTAACTGAGTTTTTTGAATATAGAAATTCATACAAGCAACTCATTTAGATGTGGCTAAGTGGACTCCTTAAGCATACTTACCAAGTGATAGCTCAGTGAAGACAACTCAATAAAGTTTTTGGTATTTCATTTTTACCTTCATGATTATTAGACTATCCTTCCATTGAAGCTTTTACTAAATAATCTTGAATGTTATAAATGTTTCACCAAATTAAAGGTGACTTGAATTATTTTTACATTTACTTTCCATTTCTCAATAAAGTTTCCTTTCTTCTGTCAGTTTCTCTTTTAAGTAAGCGGATGAATTATGTTTTTTCATGGGCTTATTTGCCTTAGAGATTTAGATGAAAACGGCTCCTGGGGATATGGGTCAAAAGAAGCTAATTATTATTGTTATAAAAGAATGTTGGTTCTGAACTTCCTAATCACAGAGTTTTAGACTGTCTGCAAATAGACCAGTTAGAGGTTCTTTGGGGATTTTTTTCAGACATTTTGCTTCTTCCATTTAAAGAGAAAATAACACCTTAAAAATAATCTATAAGGAAGCTAAAAACGTGGAATACTTTTCATCCTTCTTAAATTATTGATATAATAGGAAATATTCTACAACAATAAATGTTCTAGAGTTTGAGATATCATGTACTACTTCTCTCTATGTTAGTGTAATTTTTAAAAAAAGTTCCACATGAAAATAGGGTCATAGTAAATTCCATAATATTTTTCCTCCCTGTCCTGTCCCTGTTAAAAAAAGATGAGCCATTGTGTAATGATCACATCATGCCATTATCAAA